CCATAAGACCACGTCCGGTCCGGGGAGATGCACTCACAGCCTGAGCCACCTGGAGCTGCCGGGGGTTCAGGCAGCAGGTGTCAGTGCAGAGCCGCACAGCAGTGCCTCTCCCGTGCAGTTTGCTCATTTGTTCGGTTTAAAACCAGCAGCAGCAGCCTCTGTGTGCCAGAAAACTATTGGCGACTTTATCTACTTTATCCTTCATTTAACAGCTCTGGTGTTGGACAGTGGGGACTTTCATTCTGCCAGATGCTTTTTAATCTGGTTGTATGTTTTGGAGAATGAAAACAAAGAATTCTTAGTGCAAGTACAGCAGTCAGACAGGGCTGAGGCCCCCTGGTTTGTCCCCCTGTCCATGAGTCACTCCCCAACAGTAGTGCACTGTCCAAACCTCCTGAGGGCTCCGACCTGCAAGGTGCTGGGCACTCCACAGAGTTTCTACCTCTGGATATATCTGTGCTTTTACATAAAAGAAGTGAGCCCAGACTGTAAGAGAGCTCCAAGACTGACTAGCCACACTGCTATACCAACTGGGTGAGCCGTATCCATGTTGTACAGCACTTAGCTCAAGGGCTCCTCTTGGCTCTTCTGTGTTTTCATAGACCCAAAATGTAATTTCCATTTGTTTTCATTTTTAAATGTCCACCATACTACAAGGATGTGCTGCACCCACTGCAGCTTTTGCTGTGTGTCAGTGGGGTGCATGCTGCAGACCTGTAATGCTGTGTGAAGACATGGTCCTTGATGCGCACAGCCTGCAGTGCTGAGTGACTTCAGGAATGAGGAAACTCACCCTGTCTCAGCCAATTCTGCCTTTTGGGAGATCCCTGTGGCATATCCCTACATCACAAAGCATATGGAAATGGCTTGGTGTGGACTAAATCGGAGCCATGGAGTGAAATAAGCATTGCACAGCACAGACATCAGGAGCCCTGCCCTTGGGTTCATGCCCTGGCATATTGAGCTGTGTGTGGATGCACACAGACTTGTATCCTATGTATTTTTCCAACTCTGCCAATATCAACTTTGAACAGATTTGTTTTTCTTAGCATGTAGCCAATGTACATCAAATTTACCACTAGAGGAGATGATGAAATTTTACAGTTTATTTCTACACAATCAATACCTCTCTGTGATTCAGTGCTCACCGAATTCAGTGGAAAGATTTGGTTTTGTCTAACTGAGCATTAAAAAATGGAATACATCATCACCTGATCCAGACTGACCGCACACTGATCCAGGAACTTGTGGAGTTTTTTTCTTCTTTTTTTTTTCTCATCAGAAATAAAACACACTTGATATGCTACTTTTTATTTTCCAATATCAAGTATTCAAGAGTTTGTTTTGTAAACACATGTTTACAACAGATGCCAACAATAGATTCCATGAAACAATGTGTTACACAGCTTCAAAATCATCCTAAGTTCTGCTGAGAAATAAATATCAATTAAAAATCCCTAAAGTATGCAAAAAAAAAAAAAAAAAGCATAAACCAATTAGTCTCTTTTTACCACAGCACAGCACCCACACACTCATACAGTCAGACATACTCTACAAATCTCCTTAATACTCTACACGTTTGCTTAATAACGAGTTGTTTTTTTTAAACGGAGCAGTTACAGGCAGTGTGCCCACTCCACGCTCCTGCCACGCTACCCAGATTATTTTCTTGCTGCTTAAATCATTTGGTAGAGGTAAGCACAGCAGCCGAGGGCAAAACTCCCATTTGCTCAAGTGGGGAACAGAGCAAGTCTGTTAGAAGGAAAGCCTTCACTGTCACATGGATCACAGTGACTCACATTCGTTTTTATTGTTCTTTGTACAGAAACAGTTTTGAAGTATTTTGTCCAACTTTTTGCACCGACATCTCCCCTCATGTTCTCAAATGTACCTTTGTTAAATTTCTGAGGCATACCACATCATGTCATGTAGGATACACATGCCTCCTCTCAGTGAGCAGTCTAGGTACAATAACATAAAAGAATTATCTTTCAATTTCAACTGGAAAGGCAAAATGTTGTTTTAAAGACTCAAACACCACAAATCTCAGTTGTGCATTCTAGCTTTCTTGAAAGTTGGTGAGATTTGGCTTTTTCCACGTATTGGAGCTAGAACTTGTTCTGGTTCTACCCCCCTCTTTCTGATATTTCATGAAAGAACATTAATATCTCAGATCTGAATCCTCAATTTAATTCAAACTCTTACTAATGTTGCTTGGTTAAGAGGCGCCATCACTTCCTGCCATTCCTACAGAATTTATTTTCAGTCTCTGCTTAAGCAAAGCCACCAAAGAAAGTAACATTCTACAAAAAGATAAATAAATCCTATAGATTTGCATGGTCTATATAACTTGTACTTTAGCTGCTAGTGCTGAGCCAAATCCTATACTCCCTCCTGAAAGGACAGAAGAGCTAGACAGGAATTGGCTCACTAGGAACTATGAACACCGATTTTGCTGGAGGAACTCCAGACTTTAAGAACAAAAACACATGCTGTTGTATCATTGGCATGTGTCATTGAAGTCATAAGGAATACATCATAATAGCTATTTACTAGCTATTAGCACCATAATGTTGTTTAGCCTTTTGTCCAAAGATTATCAAGGTTACTCTTCCTTGAGCTGAACAATACCTTGAATGCTTTTTGTAGCCCTTCATAAATTTCCACAGCTTTTCAGCTATTCTATATCATGAATAAAATTCTGTTACAGGATAACATTGTGACAGCTAACTTGAAATAGAAAACATAAGGAAATGGAGAAGAGTAAAATGGAACGTGAGCAAATAAGCATTTATTCTATTTTATAATTAAAAAAAAAAAAAGCAAAGATTGGAGCTATGAAGGCTGCTTCAAAAGTAATGCCTCTTATTTTATTATATTGATGTCAGAGGTTGATATTGGTGGTATGAAGCAGCAGAAGTCAAACCTTGCCACCAATATTTCTTTACATATTGTTGCTGTGTGACAAATGGCAGCAGAGGGGCAGTCTGACACAGCAGTGTCTGACATGGAAGTGTGTATGGAACAATAGTTGAAATCTTATTCATGTGGAAAAAATGGCACCCATTGATGTTGATCAATGCTTACTGAACATTTATGGAAACACAGGATGAGAGCACAGTGAAGTGGCGGGTGGTACATTGCAGCCTTGCTGACCACCACAGTGGTTGTCTCTGCTGGTGCAGATTGTTACGAGCATGGCACGAAGGTTCTTGCTCATCACTGATGAAATCGCATAACTAATAGTGCTGACTGCTGAAAATAGTGTTTTACATTTTGTATCTGTTGTAATTTCCATGGAAACAAATAGGAGGCATGACTTTTAGAGAGGCCTACTTACTTTGAACTTGCAGAGCTAGACCTGTGCTGAATGGCTGGATTAAGTTAAAGGAGCTTATCTGAAGGACAGGACACTCGTGAACTTATGCTGAAAACTACAGATATTAACTACATGGGTATGGATATTGGATATGGATCTTGCTAGCTGTCACCCTTACTTTATATTACACCCTGTGTGGAAAGAATAGGGAAAATTTCCTTCCTGAGGACCAGGTACACTTTCAAAGCTTTGGCCACATAATAGCATATGTTAGTGTAATAACATGTATTCATAACAAAATAAGAAAGAAGAATCAAGTGAATTCTGGTCATAACCCGTCCCCACACTGAAGGCTTCCCATTTCAACTCAGTGACAATGTCTACATAATAACCTTTTTTCAATTATTAGACATAAAAAAGTTGTGTAAGAAAAAAATAAAAACCCTAATTCTATACCAAATAATTAATCTATCATCATGACACCAACTGTCCATCTTCTAAATGCTCTAAAGGATAAAAATATCTCAAAAATCAAGTCCAGCATGAGAAGAACCTGAAATGTATTAGCAAGGGTTTAATTTACAACCAGCAAGCACTGTTCAAAGCTCTGCCAATTCAGACTGCTGTGATTCTGTTTCTAGGTGTTTTAAACCCCTGGAAAGCAGTCACAGCTGGATGGCTTCAGCTGTGGTACACAGATAGTGCAGCATGACATTTCTTATGCTGTTATGAAAGAGAGATTACTGAGGGGGAAAAAAAACAAAGATAAACTTGTTAAGGGACTATTTTGTCTTTGATCCATGAAAACAGTAATACTAACCAGTGACCAGAGTATAAAAGCTAAACAAGCACTTTATGTCACCTGTACTCACTTCTGTGTCAGCATGTTAATGTCCAATATAAGGGACAGGCCCAGTTCTTCAGCCTCATTATCAGAATGTTGAGGCTGAGAATCTGGCTCCAAAATAGCAATAAGACACTTTGGACCTATTTATCAGTTTTATGTCATGAAGTGCAGTGGTATTATTCACACAGAAAGAACAGTAAGGCAGCAAAAATTCAGGCAATTTGAGAAGAGCCTGGAAGAATAGTACAGAAGGTGCTGACCCTTCTCCCCAGTCATGCTCACTGGAGTTCCGTACAGGAATGAGGTTCTAATGTGTCATTCAAACCTCTGGGTTCAAATCCTGTGAAAGGGCACTGTCCAAACCTACAGCATTACAAGTGATTTCATCGGCTTTAAGGTCAGAAATATGCCCTTATTTATTCTGTATCCACACAAAATATCTAAATTTTCAGCCGATAATCTGTAAAATATGTGAATGGTGTGCTTTAGGAACTAAATATAGAATATATATTTGAGCAAGTTCACAAAATATTTTCAATATGGAAGCAACCATTATCTGAGATGATCAGACACCCACCATCTCTGGCTGGATGAGGTGATACTGGGTGCCATCAGCCAGGGTGATGAGATGACTCTTGTTCTGGAGCTAGACAACTACTGCCTGCTGTATAACTGCTTGGAATGCCCTCTGCTTCTCTAGGCAGTATAGTAATGTTCCTCACTATGCAATCACACCTTCACCCAGAACTAAGAATTCTAGTAAAGAATTCTAGTAAAAATTTTACAGTTTGTAATGCTAAGCGTTGCTACATGGAGCTGTCATTTATTTTAAAAAAAAAAAAAGCATTCCTCCATTGCCAGATATAGAAGTAGCCACATGTGAATGCCATGGGGAAGTACTTGACTGCCATTCTGTGCTCTTCTGGTGATTATCATTGAATCCATGGGTAAAAAACATCTCAGCATGGAAATTACTCCTTGGGTAAAGGAACTTCTTTCTGAATGCACATGGGATTCAGTCCAGTGCCTATATACACACATTATTTTTAAGTGCATCACTTAAGTATATAAATTTAGACATGTATTTAAGTGTTCTGCTGGATCAGAGCCATAATGAATGGTTATGTTATGAATTTATGAGCTATATTTTTTTAAAAAGCAAACATATTTTTGAAAACACTGCACTCAAGTGTTTCTGATTAATTTAAGGGCTTTCAAACTTACATTTCTAACTCCTGCAAGGAGATTTGTACCCTAATTCACTTAGCTGCATGTTTTGACAAACAGCAAATTATTACATGCATTTTTTAAGATACAGTGACTAGACAATCAAAAGCTTTCAATTAAATTGCATCAGAATATTTAACTTATTTTTTGTAGTTGCTTATACTGTACTGAAAATATATAAAATGTCACCAGTTCCAAATTATACCATATTACGTTCAGTATGCTTATGGGAAGAGGACTAAAGGAATGCAGGGCTTTGCCTAGTATTGGAAATACGGAGCATCACTCTCCAGTTATTCTAGCCATGACTACATCCACTGGAATCTATATGAACCACTCAATATGAATGAAGTGCTTCATAAGCCATGCTTATATGCCTGAGGCTATCGATACTCTTTTCCTAAAGTCTTCCCCTTTTTGAGGAAACAGAGAAATGAGAAGCCTTAGATAAGAAACGACGATCTGTTCAGTCATGTCTCTGTACTGGAACTACTTCTCTCATGTCCCTCATAACTTGTGCAAGAGGACACTGGACTTTCCTTATGATATCATGGCTCTCTGGAGACTTGCAGATAAACTCCAGGTGTCATTGCTCCCTACTCTCCCCGGCTGGCTAGCTGTAGGTAGAAGACTTCGATATTCTACCAGTAGCACTGTGTGGAATGAGCAGGAGGGCAGGACTCCTGCTTTACGTGCTTTTGTGTTTGCCGCTAACCAAACTACCGTGTTTGCAGGGAGAGTGGAGGATGGCAGAACTTACAACAGCTAAACCCGAGATGACTTTGGAATTTCACATCTTATGGTCAGATGGTTTCATGACAGGAAAACAGCATGATCACCCTCGCTGGATAATAGGTAAAGCTCTTCCTCTGTGAAACAGTTTAGCACCACACACTGATGGTGACTAGGATCACTGCATACACCTTCTCTGGCAACTCGGCTTCCTTCTGCAATAGTAGCCTCAGAAAATAGTGTTTGCTCAGCAGATTTCAGTCCATATTTCTGTCACTGTTGACAAGGCTGGAATTGACTTCTCTGGTGAGTTACTGTTTTTACCCTGGGTGCCTTTATTGGCTTAGTTTAGACTGTTACAGCTTAATCATAACAAAGTCTTCTTCAGGAATAAATCAAAAGTTCGCCAGAGGCTGTGTCTTCTTTCCCTCGGAGGATGTTGATTTAATTAAATGATTTGGTAGAAATACATTGACAAAATTACCTAGATTAAAAAAACACTATTGGATATTTAGGTTGCTTGTGTGAAGTATATAATTTTGAAATGAAAATTAAAAAGCTACAAGGAGATAAACCAACACAGCTTTTTCAGTATTTCTGAAATGAATATCTTCCCTTCTATGTTCCAGTTTCTCAGACATTAAAAATAAAATGCTTTTAGAAGCTGAGGTGTCAGGATTTCCTAAAGAACAGAAATCCTCAATTCTGACAAGCTCTGAATTCCCTTGCACTCAGCTCAGAAGCTGCAGCAGTTGCAGATGTGTCACTTACATCACTCTCATTCTTTGTGATCAGTGTTAGCTGCTGACAATCCTACAAGCCTAAGCTGCTCTCATTCCATATTTGTATGGAAAAGACGTGCACACAAGGCATGAAATAGAGTAGATCAGGACAGATGATTCATCTCCAGCCTCTTTATCATATCATTTATGATTCCCTAAACGCTCTGTTTCTGAGGTATTTGAAGATTGTCTCTTTTCACCTCATCCCATGCGGATTAAAATGGGTGAGTGATTAAAGTGGATGGGTGCAATTACACTTCATCCTACTACTTTGCCTCAAATTTTGTCATGACATGAATTTCTTGATGCAAGAAGCACTCAAGACTGTAGGAGGAGGAGACATTTCTATCATCTATTCTGATCTCCTATGTAAAAAAATAAATTGTACCCAGTACCTCTGAGACAAGGAAATGTATTCCTTGGGATGAGAAGTACAGAAGCTAAAATCCCAGGTGGCACAAACTGAATGCAGATATATCGTTCCCAGTAGCTGCACAAGACAAAAAAATTCTGAGGCTTGAATCCAAAAAGATACTACTATGTACAGAAAAGCAGAAGGTGATTATAATGATATTCCTCTATGCTGTATTTTGCAGCCACAGAGAATGGAATTAATAACAAGTCACATAAATGGACTGAGACATTCTGAAATAAGCAGTCAACATTTCTAGCAGGGGAACCAAGCCAGTGGGTAAAGCCACATGCTGGTCAAGGAGAGACAAGAGATAATGGAAGGCAATCAGCAAAGGAGAAGCAAATCCTGATGCCAAAGAGAGTATTCCCTTTTATTTCAAGGGGAAGAGGACTTAGTTCCATATATGATTAATCATCTTACAAACTGTAAATTAAAAATTAAACTAGAAAGAAAATCCTTCTTACATTCCCAAAGTTCTGCTTTCTCTTGTTTGATTTCATGCAGGCTAAACACATAGCAAAATCCAAGTCTACCCATCGAGTTCTTGTAATGCTTCTAATTTCCTAAACTAGTAAGACTTTCCCTGCAGAGCAAAATACAGCTTTGATTTCCTGGTGTCCACTGAAATTGTTCCCTGCCCTTTGAGACATCATTAGTACATTGTAAGAAGGGCACTACAAAGTCTCCAGAGCAATATATGAAATGCTAAGAGAGGGGGAGAAAATACACCGTAATAGTTTGGAATAAGCAAAGGCCACATCTCATGGGTCCCTGCTCCCAGACAATTTATATTCTTAGCTCTTCCCTGAATGGGTGGAGGAGAGCCAACTCACCCTTTGTCCTCACAGAAAGCTTTAAACGAAGCTGAGGAAGGCTGGTCACATGCAGGACAATCCATACACCTACAGCTTCCAGCGTGGTTCCAGCAGCCTGCTCCAAAGAAGGCAACAGGAGAGGCAGAACCAGGGCAGGAGCACCAGGGAGAAGCACCGTAGAGGTGCCAGCAGTTGGGAAGAAGGCCTCACGCTGGGCATGGGGGCAGCCCACGTGCTCACAGTCCACTTGAAGGCTTCTCTGCTAGGTCTTGTGGAGAGATGTGCCACCTTCGCTCCAAACAGCCAGTAAGAAATAAAACGAGACCATTAGCTCTACCCAGAGGTTCCCTCACCGAAGCTGAACTCGTCTGGCATGCACTCCTGAAGCCCAGCCAAGAATTTCCTGTAAGCCATAGCTGGTTATTTTCTTTTTCAGGAAAAAAAAATGGATCTGGTAATAATAAGGGCCACCCAGGTGACCTGTATCATAACAGATATACATCTGACATGGTATGTGTACATGGTTCCTACACCTTAATGTTATCACAGATTAATACTTAAGTGCTTTTTTTACTCTAAGCATTATACCCTCCTAGCCTTTGTACTTTGTGAAGAATGACTGCTTCCTATCAAATGAAAATTAATGCACATTTTGACAGAACAAAGATATTATGTCTCCACATTTGCAAAACATTACCTGATGCATAAATTTTGTATGGCTTAACATGTTATTAACAGTACTTTAAATGTTATGTCCTTTTTTATTTTAACATGTATATCTGAAAATAGCCCCTTTCAAATTGACTTGCAGTAATGTCTTTAAAAGCAAACTTTATACATAATTTGCTGCACACACAATTATCTGAGTAAGTTGCATAGTTTAAACAAGTTTAGTTGTGCTTTGTAGCAGAACTCACAGTAATTACTCATCTCTTAAAAATACTACTTGCAGATGTGAAAGATGATACATTTAAGCATTTTTGTGACATCTAGACATTAACAATATGAGTTTTTGTCACTCTTCCACTGACTTCTGTTGTTCTCCATCCTTACACTGATATTAGATAGGGCATGGACATTTAATGGACACAGCTGAAATAATTACAAACGCAATTTTTAAAACTCCATTGTCAGGAAGGGAGAATTAAGAACTTGGGTTGATTTGAGGTATCCAGCCCTCAGGAACATACTATGGTTGTATGCATTAAGCTTTGTTGGTTTTACCATGTGTTACATTTAGATTAAAAATAGAAGGCACAGGTGTTTTACAAGGCGCCATAATTAAGTCAACCAACAAAATTAAACATTACATTACCAAGCCAGGGGTCTATATCTCAGCAGTGACTTCTTCCAATGCATTTTCATTTGAGGAATTTATTGCTTCTGAAAAGGGGCCAGGGTATGTCTGTGCTATGCAGTTCATTCCTTGTGCCATACCAATGTCTCCTCGAGAACTGAAGGTAGGGCAGGATCTAGTCCGTGCATAGTTTTGTTGGAGTCCAGCTTGGCCAACCATCTCACTCACAGTGTTCACCGGCGAAGCCCTCCATCTTTGTCTCTGTAGTTGCTCTTCTTTACACTTAATGGAGTACCAGGCCAGAAAAATAAAAAAGAATCCTACAAACTTGAGAGCAGCAGCCAACCCAAAGTAGACAAAACGAAATGAGGTGACATCGTATTCCCAACAAGATCCTTGTACGCCACAATCCTGTTGCCAAAGCATGCATGTGGTATCAATAACAGCCCCAAAATAAATTGGAGTGGGAATGTAAGCTGAAATAAAAATAGCAACAGCATTAATACGTGTTAGCAGATAGAGGAAGACTTCCAAATAAACTATGTATGCATGTAAGCCAAACAGGTGTAGGTCAAGAAGTTCCGAGATTTCTACTGCTCTATTCTTCCCACCATCAGTACTTATCCCACTTAGGAACACCATATAAGTGACAGTGTTGAAGTAAAGACAGCTTAGCAACATCTTACAACAGCTACTGCTCCACTCTGTAGAGCCCAGCCAGCTCTTCATGAACTATTTGTCCCCCCAGAGAAACTCCAGTGCTCTCAGGAAATAAAATCAGCAGGAAAAAAAAAATGAGATGTTATCTCCACAGTATTACTCGTTGAACATCCATTACCCATAAGCTGGGAAAGAGCAGATTGCTGCTTTAGATTAAGGAGAAAAAGCCACAGAAAATTGCAAAACATTTCTCTTACCGAAGAAGGATGGAAGTAATAAGACCACTAGAGTTTCAATCTCTCTTTTGAAGGTATCTTCCTCAGAAACCGAATTTAACATCTAAAATTGCCAGACCCTTAAATGCTCTGTTTTCCCTGGAAATATGACACCTTTAAGATGAGTCAGAAAGGGCCTTCCTCAAAGAAAACTGTTGCCTTACTGACCAGATGCAGCCACGAGTACTTTTCCTCACGTTATCACATAGAATAATCACCGCTTGTTCTATTCATTACTATATTGCTTGCTCCATTCATTATATACTATTTGGTAGTAGCTGAACACCAGAACCAGTTGGGATTTTAGGCGTTCAAGAGGATGAGCACTGGCACTTCATCTTCTTTTCCAAGTAATTCCAGTTTCTGTCCTCGAATATGCAATATTATTTATGGCAGAGGAGAAGGACTGAAGACAGACACAATCCTGCTATGGACGTGTTTAGAAGACCAAAGTTGTTCTTACTATGTCATCTAACTGGATCAAGAAATTACCAATTGTTGTCAAAAGAAAATATTAATTTGTCAAAAACCAAATCATGTCAGGTAGGGTTTTTAAATAAAACTTGAAACTGTTAAAATACTTCTTTCTGGGACAAAAATATCATTCCAGAACGTCAATAATAAAAATAAATGTTTTAAATACATTCTCAGTGACAACATTTTCAGAAGCTATTAATTCTAAGTTCCTAATACAATCAGCCAGGTCATTAGTGGCACATTTATGGAATTTTAGTACTTTAATGTTACATTTAAGGCATCACAAACCTTTTGGAAACTCTGCGGTTTCTGTGAAAGCTTAGTAGCTACATGACTTACCAAGAGTTCGTAACAGAACAAACTGCATTCCTAGTGCAAAGGGCCGTTCCCCATCTTCCACAGACCTAGCAGACAAAAATAAACTCCTTTACAAACTAGTCATCATAGTCACTATGGACTGTTCTGACTTTACATCCTGGATTTTTTTCTGAGCTATAATAAATTTTTGTCAACATCCAAACAGTCTGGCTAAACATTCTTCCATTTCAACATAAGCAATAGGAGATTCCTTTCAATAGTTAAAAAAAAAAAAAAAAAAGTCAAGCTTTCAAAGCACTGAATGCACAGTAGTGATATTTCACAATGCCTCAACAATTTCAGTAAATCACAAGTTATTTTTTAAATCTTAACTAAAATATCTGAAATTCAGATAGGCAACTTGTAGTGACACTGGAATAGAAGATAAAGAACAAACAGAAAAACTGCAGTCAGATAGTCAAGATTTTCAAGCCAAGAACTCAGCCAGAAACTGAAAAACCAGAGAAATAACTTGGGCCACAAATCTTGGACCAACGTGCTGTGCACAGTACGTGGCATTGCTGTTCCGTGGACTAGGGGGAGGGAGGCATTCTCTTCTTCGATGAGCATTACAAATTCTGCTGAATATTTCTCTTATGTGTCTCACTAAAGTGAAGCTCTCTGCAGTATTAATGTTCACTGGTTGCAGTTTACGTTTCCATAACTGCAGTACAGTGACAATGTGTTCTTATTGTTCTTACTGTGCAGGTGGAAAAGTCAGAGAAGGAACACAAGTCCGAGGTATCCAAATGACAGTGGAATATCAAGGTGGTATGTTTTTATTTGTTCTCTCTATATATGGTCTAGAAATTGTTGGACATTTCTTGTTTCCCAAAGTGCATTATCATGCAAATATTCTAAATTCTTCTGACACAGACACTGGTGACAGCAAGCACAGCAAAAACAGGTACGTGAGCCTATATCTTTGTTCCTACCTGAGTGTCACTATGATTGCTGATGGCTGGGCGCACGCTGTAATAAGGGTCACTATGAAGAGAAATATCAGGAATGGGATAAGTGTGTTGCAGGTTCGATCGCACTTCCCAGAAACAGCATAGCCGTTCTCATTCAGGTAGGTTTTGACAATGACCAGCCGGAGCTGGCTGCGCTGGCCCACTGTCGGCGGGGTGATAACCTGGCGGCTTTGGACACAGGCGCACTCTGTGTAATTTCTTACCTGGGGAGAGGGGAAATGGGAAACAGAGAACATTTCCACATGAAAACTCATGTGAGAAAGACATGGTATGTCCTATGTAACCTTCACAGCAAGCATCAAATACTTCCCAATCAGGGTTCTACAGTCTCCAGCATCATGATCCCACGTACAGTCAAAATTACCACTCTGAGAGGTTTCAAAGCTGGCCCAAATGTCCCATAATAGATCTGCTTTCCCATTGCTCATAACTTCCACTAGTTCATAGAATCATAGAATGGCCTGGGTTGAAAAGGACCACAATGATCATCTAGTTTCAACCCCCTTGCCATGGGCAGGGTCACCAACCACCAGACCAGGCTGCCCAGAGCCACATCCAGCCTGGCCTTGAATGCCTCCAGGGATGGGGCATCCACAACCTCCTTGGGCAGCCTGTTCCAGAGTGTCATCAGCCTCTGTATAAAAAACTTCCTCCTAATATCTAACCTAAACCTCCCCTGTCTCAGTTTAAAACCACTCCCCCTTGTCCTATCACTATCCACGTTTGTAAACAGCCGTTAGGCAAGCAACAGTTAGGCAAGCATTTATAAAAATAAGAGTTTTTGAGAACTTTGCAGAAAGAATTCAATCACTTCTAACAAGGATGCTGGAGGAAAAGATTAATTCTGGTATATTATCAAAACTATGAGGAAACAACCTTCAAGCAGTACTGACAATACCATATTCTGGAATTTGGCAGGCTGTTCACTGTCATCTGCAGGAGGTATCTTCTGCTATCTCTATGGTATAACCTATCTAGACTTGGATAAAGAGCAGAAAGCTGTGTTTCACACATGGAACCCAGCATGGAAACTTTCAGCTGAGTGTGGAGTGTGGATATGGATGGGATGTGGACAAAAGGAAAAAGAGAATAAGGTGAACAGAGAGAATTAAACAGTGATATTGGAAGACACGAGGGATTCTTGAATGGACAAGAGTTGAAACTAGCATGAAAAGATTGTGCAGTAAACTGGCATTTCAGAGGCAAAGGATAGTGTGATCAGAGCCATATGAGGAAAAGCTAGGTCAGAAACAGGCTCTCATTACATCTTTTCTACTACAGTTTTTTAACGGCAAAAGTTTGTGTGGTGACTGAGAATATTCCTGTGTTAGGGAAGCAGATCAGTGCACGCATAACACTAGAGGCTTTGATTTTTATGTTCATATTCATAAGCGTAGGACCACATATGCACAGAATCTACATTACAAGACCATCTTAATATTGCAAATTTAAGCACTCAGACATCAGGAAATAACCGAATTAGGGTTGCCTGTCAACTTCAATTTATACTCTTATTCACAGCTGTGTTATGGCAGCACCTTATTTTTATTTTTTTTCATGGGATTTAGCTGAACATCCTAATGAGAATTTATCCAGTATTTTACTACACATTTTTAAAATATGATCCCAAGCATTCTTCTGTTCATGCTAATAAAACTCTACTACAGAGCAGCTCATATTTCATATGGATTTTTTTTTAATCAAACTCATCATTATAGCTTAACATTTTCAAAAAGGTGTAATTTATCTTCAAACAGCTGAGATGAGGCACTGATGGTTTTATCTCTATTTTGTAGCTGAGTAATTGAAACAAATAAAAAGTTTCAGTAAAGTGAGTGGCAAATTTAAGGGAACAAAGATCCCTTTCTTCTAGAATATTTTTCCTTATATATAACTTACTATTTCCTAAACACAACTTTTTTCTGCCTTCAGATAAAGATTTAGGCACTCAGTGCTTCTGCAGAAGACACTTCTGACTACTGCTCATGCTGATCATCCAGAATATGAAGAATAAAAAATTAGTCACCAACTGGGATAAATTTTTGAGTGACTTGCCCAGTATTGCTTAGGAATGGAAGCAATAACAGAATCCAGTTTCTTAGGTTCTTCGTTTCAAGGTAGCTCTCCACTGTCTAAAACCACAAGTATTTGTTTCCTTCCTACAGTCTTCATCTTAATCTCCTTGTTGCTTCCAAATAGGCCTCCTACAGAAAACAGTCTTCTTTAGTACACAATCTTCGCTCATCATCAGAGAAACCAAGTTTGTGCACTGAGACAGAGATCTTATGCATGAGAAAATCTGGAGTTTACATAAACCAGTTCTGAATTCCACATGGGCATCCTTTTGCCTAATTCCAATTTTTAAGTGGCTAATTTTGAAAGCATTATATTCTATAAGCTTAAATCCTGATGTTATACCATAGCAACATTTTGTGTGCTATAGAGTGACCTAAGCTTGTAGACATTTCTAAAAGCATTCTACATCAAACATTATTTTCTCAAGAAATGTATTTTCCTACTCAATTCTTTTTTCCACTGTCAACCTTCAGGTGATGAAGGATCTTCTCTTAAACCATAGTAGAAAACAGTGTGTTTCAAAATCTGTGTTAAAGAGTACAAATTACCAACGTACTTCCCTATTAAATGAGTTATTAGCATCAGTTTGATATCAGGTAAATTGTAGCCTAGATTACACAATTGGGCCAAAGGAACTTTCTACTACAGACTAGGAAGACATTCAAAATGAAAATAAAAACAAAATAAAAATAAAAACAAACAAAAAAACCCACTGTTCTAAGTTTGTTCTAAGTGGAATCTACACAGGAACCTGCATTTATGAAACATTATCCAGTCAAACTTGAGATAGGGAAATGCTCATGTTCATAGGCTGGCTCAGAACTGCAAATCAGCAGACTGATACGTTATAAATAAGCTTTTTGGAATGTACAATCAAGCCCTCAGAAGATCAATGTTTACATTACTTCCTGTCTTTCTTAATGATTTTTTTTTACAGTTCTGTAACAGAAAAATTCAAGGGTTTGCCTTTCGTATTAAATGAGCATATAAATACCACTCTTTTGTTTGGAGGGTCAAATTGTACCTTTCAGTCCAGTATACTGCAAGATTCCCATGGTATAACTTTATCAGCAGGATGCCTCTCCTCAGCCCAGCATAACTGAAAGACTGGGCTGTAACGGATAATGCATATCCAAGAGAGAAAGTGGATTATTAACATCCTTTAGTTTCTGGTTACATGAGTTCAAAGGTAATTATATACCATGAAGGGGTCTGGAGAGGGACAGGATGATGGCAAAGCTGCTTTACAAGAGCAGAATAAATGGGCAGTCTTTATTTACCAACACAAACAAAAGACCTATCAATGCACTAGTGCAGGTGGTACAACCACTAACGTGAAACAAGGAGCCCAACACAAACAACAGTGGCTTTCAACAGGCCATTATAAAACTTACAAAGGAGTTTAGAACATTTTCCAATTACCAGAAAAGTTAAGTTCTTCCTTCCATTCAACAAGGAAACGACAACAACAACAAAATACACAACTACTATTAAAAATAACATTGACGAACTCGTGAAAAGACTGCATGCTTCAAGGACAGATGTTGGCTCTAGAAACAGAGCAGTCTTCAATCTGCTCCAGTCCTGATGGGCCACTCATGTTTGTAGGTAGGTGGGTGAAGGACTTACCCCTGTACTATGGTTTCCACCATTGATGCAGCCAGCCAGGCAAGGATTAAAATACGTTATTCCATCTGATCCACAGACAGGCTCATACTCATGAATTTTACATCCACAGTTCACATTACAGCTCCCAGTGAGATTCCTGTGGGCCATGGCAAGAGTGGGACTGAAAAAAGGAAAAAGAACATGCTAGTAGAGCAAGCACAGGTATCCTGCTGTTCAGAGGAGAAAACATCCTACTCATTAACACTGGAACTTACACTTGATCATTACAGAAAGACTGCATTAACCCTAGGTCATATGCTTGATTTGAAAAATGATTTGCTCAGATGAAAGCCTTAGATATCTCTGCCAACAACTGAAAGAACAATATAGAAGTAATTCCAAAGTTTAAACCTTGTACATCATTTGTGTGAGTGTTATATTTTAAACCTTGTACATCATTTGTGTGAGTGTTATATTTTATTCTCCCTATTTTTCCTTTTAAAAGTTAAGACATTTTATACAAGGTGAGCTGCAGCAATTTGCTGTTGATTAGTAGAGAAGAGCCCAGTGATGAGACGTGAGCATTATGTGAACTAATTAGCCATCTCTTCCCACATACCAACTGCTCCAGAAAGGTAATGCTTGTATTACTGATATGCACAGTTGAAAAATACAACAATCTCCCTGATCTTCTACATATGGAAGATCACCATGCTATTACTAAACATCTCGAAAACAGCCACCGTGCCATCTCCCTGGACTTTTCCCCGAGATACAACCAAAGCCCAACTTTCAGAGTTCTCTCACAAAGAGTGTAGCTGTAAGCTCAGAACCAGTGAGTTCCAGTGTGCAGCTCACACCCAGAATGGAGAGTCTGTCAAAAAAAATCTATCCCACTGTGGCACTGCTTTACCAGCGCTACCGCAGCAGCTCAATCCAGAAGTGGCACAGGCAGTAATAGCAGAATCCATACGCATAAGATCACAGATTCATTGTCATCAGATTCATCATCAGATGTTACAAAATACAGTGGTCAAATGCTACTTTTTGCTACTTGTAGAAAGAAATCAGCTCTGCTTACAACTGATGGTCAGATGGCACTAACAGAGGTTTTGATTTTTTGATTCCAGTTCACAAAGTGGGATGGTGATCAATTCCTCCATCTGCTGCCTGGTCCACCACATCATTCCAGCCCTGCCCAGAACAACTCCCAGTTCACTCTCAAACTGCCAGCTCTCGGAACAACTACTAGGAGAGTGACCCAGCTGCTTCCTGCCCTGAAGCAATGACCATGGTGGCAGGGGAATTTTAATGCTTCTGGGTATGGTGAGGGCTTGGAGTGCAAAGCAAAGGACAAGAAAGTCTTTTACAGTGAGGATGGTGAGGCACTGAGACAGCTTGCCCAGAGATGTGGTAGATGCTCTTTCTTGGAGACATTCAAAGTTAGGCTGGGCAGGGCTCTGAGCAACCTGATCTAGCTGTAGATGTCCCTGTACACTGGGGGGGGGAATTGGACTAGATGGCCTTGAAAGGTTCCTTCCAATTCTAAGGATTCTGTGATTCTATGAGGAAAAACATTAGCAGACATATCAACCTCACTGAAAGAGAATAATAAAACACCTAGATAAATTCATATACAGATCCTGGTAATATACTAACAAAGTTTAAAAAAATAAGAAAGGTAAAGTGGATACTCATTGTTTCTTCATAAATTAAAAACAGACTGTAACAATTAGAATCAGTGTAAATATATGAGTTCCAGTGTGCTGGATGCAAGGTGTCCAGTTTGTCTTACTGGGTTTTTCCCAGACATTAGAATATATTAATGAAAATCTACAACTTCAGGAGAATAATACCTTCATCAGTGGTAAAGGGGGCTGCAGGTACCATCCTACCCTCTCCTGTATTCTGAGCGCAATCCGACCCAGAAGACCTGAACTTCTGTCAGAAATGGCAGTTTGGCCCTTTTAAACACAAAGTAGATACTGAGCTCCATTAGGGCACGGATATTAGCATATGTGCTGTAAGCAAAACTCTTGCCCTGGGAATTATGTTGGTATGCATAGCATCCACACCAGGCACTGCAGTGCAATGCTGGATTAACTGTGCTGCCTTGTTTGCCCTGCTGTTGGTATTGCTCAGTGATGCCACAGAGAGGCCACTGCTGTTTCAAGCCAGCTCAAGTGTCTTCTCTAAACAGAACAGTAGGTATCCGGAGGATGTTTGCACCTCCTCAGCCATGCAGGAGTTGAACAAGAATCTGAACTGGTTTGGGGGCTGCTGTTTGCTTACCTTAGCTCTGTAATACTCAGCTACAACAGCTGTAAAGGCAAACAGCTACCATCAGACTTACTGTTTCCCAGCAACACCGTGGACAATAAGGGATGTTCTTCTGCTCCCATCTTCCATACCCAAACAGATCAGAGGCTTGGCTCAGGAACACTCCACACATAATGCTTGTTATCCATGTTATTTGTCACCTCACCTCCCATCATCAGTGATGCTAAGTGGTACGACAGCTGCTTAGTAACTTCCACCTGATTCGTTTCTAATGTATTTAAACACTATTTGCTCTTGCTGAATATGCTTGTCTTTCCAGCTGTGCACTTTTGCAGCTGATCTAATGTTGCTAAGTACCTTTTAAATATTTATTGACTGTCTACTGATTACACAAATCAGGTCCACAAATTTAGCTCTTGGAGCTACTTTGCACTTTGTGGTCTAGTTGGATGTTAACCAAAGCCTTTCTGAATGTTTTCTTCCTCGTCCATAAACAAACAAGGTACAGTTTTAGAAACATTGCAGCTTGAGCAGGAAATTAAATATCCAGGACTGATATGTCTCTGTTGCCTTCCCAGCTATCAGCTGAAACCTGTCTCATTATATCATGCTGGATTTCAGAAAGCAATATGAAGCAACATGTCATACACCACCAGGCAGATTTTTCCAGTAATTTCCCAACAGAACTTTTTGTCTGCTGGAAAACATCCAAATCGCCAAAATATTTCCCATGAACATACTGACTTCAGCAATGATGTGACAGTATTTTATCACAGAAACAGGAGAGGCAGCATTTTTGGATTTTGACAAGCTCCTTGGCAGCCTGCTGAGCTGGATGTCCCAGATGCCTAAATATTTGGGGTAAGCAGAGCTTCCCAACCTGTGTGCAGGAAACCCTCGTGATGATGCCCTGGCTTCCAGCTTGTGGACAGGACCAAGGGCATCTGAGGCTGCCAGGAAAGGCACAGCTCAGATTCCCCTCTCCAGCCTTTCTCACTCTGTAAAATGCATTCTTCTGACCTCTTATCCCTTCTCATTAAAGCTGTCTCAGCAGTAGATGATTTTTGGGCTGCTTCCCAGTGGCTCCGCTTACATAGTCCACTCACTTGAGCTGCATTGCTAAATATTAGTATGACACACAGGTTAGGAAATCAGCTTAAAAATAAAGGTGAATGAAATCAGGCATGCAAGAAATTAGAAGCATGAACCCGGAAACTGAACTGAGAGTGCTGTGAAAATTTAATCTTAGGGACTTCTTTATTTTGCCGGAAAGAAGATTTAACTTTACAGATACGCAAAGCAAATACGTTCAACTTAATAACAAGTTACTGCAAGCTGTGTCTCCCCAGCTTTCATCACCTCTTGTACAAATAAATTACAGTATGGTTTATTTTGGGTATTTGCTTGCCTTTTTTTTTGCTGCTTAAAACAAATGCCTTGTGTAAAAAGAGATTTTTTTAATTCTCTCTAGAATGTGTAATAGAAAAAAAATCAGCCATTAGCTGATTCAAAAAGCTCATTAGTAGACATTTTTAAAAGTCTTTTCATCTTTATTACCTTCAGTCTTCATCCACTGTTCATTCCTCTTTTAATGACTGGAAACTAATGAAGGACTACAGATGCTGAAGACTTGAAATCTCTACTGACAAATATGCATGTAACCCCATTTCCACCATGTATCATCTGCTATATAGCAGCACACATTATGACAGATCTCTGTGAATACCTTTCCCACTAGTAGAAGCACATATTTTCACATCACTAAGCTGAACCAGCATCTTCTGACACTAGGAGGCTGCCTACTTTCACCAAAGGAAAACAGCAGTGAGCTCTGAATTGCTGCAGAGCACATCACAGATTTACCCGCACTGGTCAGAGAAAGCAGGTTCTTAAGTAAATTGAACCAGAGCTATTAAGTCCTGTTTGTGAACTGTGCCATGAAAAAAGCAGCTTACTTTCAGTGCATCCACTGCAATAGATACATGGGATATATGAGGAACACCTGCCCCACTTGTGTCAGTGGCACAGATGTTGTCAACCCACAGCGCTGCTTCATCTGAGCTGCCAGAGGCATCTGTCACAGAACGACAACTGTGCATGCACACATAGAGACCAGCCCCAAAATACACATTTCCAGAACTATTCTTTCAATTACAGGCAGTGACTCTGCTCTTTTCATTTAACTTGAGGTTTGCTAAACATGCAAGGATAAAACTCAATTTTTGCATTTGTTCCCTTCTCAGGGAGACTGTTCTGTGTCTCCATGACTCACTATTGGTAAAGATAATGAAGAGAAGACCTTTATTAGATGAGGCTGATGAAAAAAAAAAAAAAAAAAAGAAAAAAGCAACTCTCGTTCCTAACATTGTCTAAATTCTGTTCTCCTCTACAACTATTGCTCTGTGGAAGGCTTGTGGCTTTAGAATAAAGCAAGAAAAGGGAAATAATAAGGCAGGACATACTGTCTGGAATCTTTAGAGCTGTGACCTGTTATTTCAGATATTCAGACTTGTCCTGAGACCCCATTTATGCTGGCAGTTTATGCACAGATGCTGGAAAAAGGTGGACCCTCATCCATGAAACTACAATCTAAATGAAATGAAGATAAACAAAACCAATGCCTGACTATCTTTTGGTAACATCTAAAAACAGAGTTGCTTTGGACATGCTTTTATTAATATTATTTGGACTGCTGCAGTAACCAACATTATCGTACACTAAGGAAATACAAACAAAAGAAGAAAATCTCTCACAATTTCTCTAACCTTAAAATTGAGCTATATGACCAAAAGAGTTAACTTGGTGGCAATGTTTTTGGTTTGGTATTGAAGCTTTAAGGCCTAGGATGTTCTGAAAGGCAGAGATCTGCAGCTTCTACTTGGCAAGCAGCTGAAATTGCAGCAATGAAGCAAATTTTGTGTAGCTGTCAAACAAGGGACCCTCTCACTGCGTTAGTTGGATTCCTTCTTTGTTGTCATTGTTCTGATCCAATTAGTCACTGATTCTAAATTAAGAGATCTGATAAGTCTGAAAGAGATACAAGGGTAACAGAAACACAAACTAAGAGTACAAGAGGAAGAATTTCTCTTTTTCTTACATTAAGTGCCTTAGTAACTCAATTACATGCTTTAATTAAACTTTAATTATACTAAAATGACAGAAAGCAATCAGAAGGAACTGTTTTGATTCAATACATGCCAGAAATATGAGAGATGGAACTGAAATAATCCAGGAATCTGTCATTATGAGCTCCCTGGGAGCTTGTTTTAGTTACTTAATATCTCAAAACATGGAAAGAACAAGTCTACAAATCTCCAAAGCAGCTGTTGTCTGCTATTTCCTCTTTGCCCAGCAATTGTGAGATCACACCTGGAGTGCTGGGTCTATTCTGGGCTCTACAGCACAGGAGAGACTTGGATGTACTGGAGAGATTCCAGTGAAAGGTCTTGAAAGGACTGGAGCACCTCTCCAGTGAGGAGAGGCTGAAGGAACTGGGGCTGTTCACACCAGAGAAGAAAAGACTCAGTGGGGATCACAACAGCGTATAAATATATCCAAATTGAGGGTGCAAAGAGGATGGAGTCCGCGTCCTTTCAGTGGTGACCAATGCCAGGACAAGAGTTCATAGGCACAAACTGGAACACAGGAGGTTCCATCTGAACCTCAGCAAGCACTTCTGTGCTGTGCAAATAGAGACCATTCACAGATTTAGGACTTCCCATTCAGATGTTTATTATGATGCAAGAGAATGGTTGCCAGACAGCAGAGCTTGGCACAAGGCTCATTATATCAAATATCAAACACACCCTCAGAGAGGAGGCTGAGGAACCGAACAACAGATTCTGAAATGCTGAGATGTACAAAGCAGAGGTGTCCTTGACCTTCCTCACAGCAGAACTGCTGATGACACACCAACAACAGAAAAACTGCTTGTCTCCAGCATAAAAAAGCAGAGAATTTTTGCAAATGTATTCTAATCTGTGTGCACCTCCAGGGTCCCTGAGCTAGTACAGTGAGAAAAATACTGAGTTATGAAACATTCTGAATTACGACATATCACTGCCTACATCTCTGACTACTGATTTGCACATATTTCTATGTTAACTAAAACCCAACTTATCTATCTCTTCTATACTGGCTTATCTCACTTAATCAAAGGAAAATAACTACCTTTTTAAATGTAAGACAAGAAGAAAGTAGAACTAAACATACTAGTCCAAAGAAGACTCCATGATATGTCTGTGCTGTATGGTATGTCTATACTGCCCAATGCAGCTGAGATCCTCAGGCTGCTGCCAGAGCAGGTAGCCCAGACATCAGATCCGGCACAGTCATGGTAAGGCAGAGCATCATGGACGATAATTTATCCTGAAACAAACCAGCTGTAGTGTTTACCATTTCTCATCTAGGCATGCTGAACTGGCTTTGATGTCTGTACACTGAACAGCACTGGAGCTAGAGAACAAAGTATCTGTTTTATTAAACCTCAAAATGAAAGCATGATTTTTTGTTACATAAAAATTACCTTCTTCGATGTTTGAGTAGAACACTTCCTTACTAAGTAAATTATATGATTGACCACAGTGAACAAAAGAATATTTGTCACATCACATTTAGGTGATTTTATAGGTGAATTTATAATTAGTGAATTTATAATTAGTACTGCTTATTTATTACCATCTTTAACCCCTTTTTATCTCTGCACTAGAAAACTTACACAGAGCTGAGGCTTCAGACACGTGAATCCTGCTTTATCACATGCTAGCAGTTCTCAGTTTCTGATGACATTAGTCTAAGCACACTGATTTTTATACTGATTTTAAAGACCTGACACCCATCAGTACTTTACAAAAATCTGTAATTACTAAGTCTCATCTTTTGTACCAGTAAGAAGAATTAGATGAAGGTGGTCAAGAACTAATGTGATTATACTTGCAGAACAGCTGTGAAGAGACTTCAGTTTCAATTCATGTATTTATTACCACAGAAATGAATTAGATGCACTTACAATTCTAATCTGAATGTTCCAATAACACCAGTTTTACCCGATTTTGATTTAGAAATAGATTTAAACTAAATAACCTTTTCACTGGCAGAAAACAGCAGCCTTTTCATCAACCAGACAGGGACATTCTCATGTTCCACAGTTCAGTTAGTAGTTACAAAAAATTTCAGAGAATCACAGAATGGTTTGGGTTGAAAGGGACCTTAAAGACCATACAGTTAACAACCCTTCCTGCAGTAGGGCTGCCTCCCACCAGCTCAAGCTGCCTAGAGCCCCATCCAACCTGGCTCTGAATGCCTCCAGGGATGGGGCACCCACAGCTTCTCCAGACAAACTGTTCCAGTGCCTCACCACCCTCTGAGTAAAAAATTCCTCCTAGTATCTAATCTAAATCTCCTCTCTTTCAGTTCAAAACAATTCCCCCTTGTTTTGTCACTATCTTCCTGTGCAAAGTTGGTCTATCTCCTGTCTATAATCTCCCTGTAAGTACTAGAAGGCTGCAATGAAGTCTCCCCAGACCATTCTCCTCTCCAGACTGCACAAGTCCAGCTCCCTCTGCCTTCCTTCTCAGGAGTGGTGCTTTAGCCCTCTGATCTTTGCTTCTTCTGGACCTGTTCCATTAGCTGGCACCCCAGACCCGGACACAGTACTCCAGATTGGGCATCAGGAGTGAAGAGTAGATGGGGAACAATAAAATTTACATTTCATTTCTTAATAATTTTCCTTTCTTCATCTATTCCCCCAGGCTGACAATAAACATCACCAGACGATGGACAATCAAGGCGTTCTATTCCCATTTTCTCTGTTTTCCCTATTCTCAGACCAGGATTCATCATCTATGCTACTCCACTCCAGAGCTAGCCCTTTGGCATCAAGCTTTCATTCTAGGTTATTAAGAAAACTAATGAGCACACAAGCTTTCCATCAGCTCATGGCTTTCTCTTGTTCCTTGCCCTATGATTATCATTTGACAGCAACTCAGTAACACACAGCATCAGGTAATGCAAAATATTCTTTGTGTAAACTGTCCTATTCTCTCCTTCCCTTGCTTCCCATTCATCTTCTGTGTTTTTCATTTGGTTTCCTCACTGCCCTAGTTTAGTTCTTTTTCATCCATCTGATCATCTATTTTCCTGCCCTACATTTCTCCCAGTCTCTTCCAATCCTCAAAATTATACACGCAAAGCTGGGAGAGCTTTGAAAGCAAGACATTCAAATGACTTTGATACCCAACAAATAGTCTTATTTAACAGGCAAACACTGTCTCAGATATAGAAGCAAAGTGAAAAACACTGCTTCAGATAGGTTTGCACTCTTCAAATTCTTAGTTTGTTCCTGTTTTTAAGCTATATGAAGAAAGGAATTTTAACAAGAAGTTAATGTGCTTAATAAGAAAGTAAAAAACATTCATGATCAGGATTCCTTGAAACTACTTTCTAGGGAGATAATATTCTCACAAATTTTACTACACTTTCCAAATATCCCTTTTTATTTTTCTTGATGTCATAGCCTAAATCCCTCACTCCCACTATCTTCCCACATCCATATCTTATTTTTCCTGACAGCCTTTTTTAAAGGTTATATTCAGGTCAGCATCCCTGGCAAGAAATGCATGGTGTTTGTACAGCTTGTAAGTTCAGAAGCAATGCACACCACTAACATCAATGGCATATGCCCAAGAAGACTGAAGACCTAAGGTATTAAACAAACCTATTCAGTAATAAACATTACAATCTCTTTAGTATTTTCACAATTTTCATAACAGAAAGCATTCTGAAACACTAAATTCTGAGCAATGTATACAACATATTAGTGTTTTCCTTTGAAAATTGCTGAAGTCCATTCTAACATATTTTCCCATCCATTAGAGAGGTGAGTTATTGCATAGGCTTCATTACAAACTAGATGTAAAAAAGAAGGACCACACAGTATGTGCTCATACTATAATATCATATCCCAATTTGATTGTGCGGATTCTTCAGAACATCAGCCATCAGCATTTACATTTTGTTACCAGGTTTATTGGAAAACTCCAGTGATTCAAAGGTACTTACCCAGTCGTATAAGGTATGTTTATTCCCCCTAGATTAATGCTTTCACATCCAACAATGAAGAGAGTTGAAAAACACAGCAAAGACACACCACTGCAGATCATGGCCAGCTTTGCAGACTCTCTCGCACCAAGTTTCAGTTTTTTGATAATGTAGCCACCTAGGACAATACCAACACCAGCGCTTGGAACAATTATTACACCTGCCAGGAAGAAATTTGAGTGACATTAAAACAGGACCTACAGAAATAGCATAAATAATAACATAGTATTTGTTTAGTTCCCTAACTAGATGATTACAAATGTTGCACTAAGATCTCCATTGTCTGATTCTCTGCTAGCTAGCAAACTGAGTCAGACTTTTCTGGAGCGTTGTCCAAGAATTAATAAAAGCTCCCTTATGATATTACCAGCAGCCAAAGCACTATAAGAGAACTATTGTATTAACAAGCAGAAACATTGCTTTGTATTTATTTCAGCATGCAGATAAGGGATACACATTGCTCCTAATCACTAAAAATGTGAAGAAATCCAAATTTGGACATTCATCAGCCTCTTCCTACTCTCATGATTAAGTCCAGTAAAGCATAGATGCTAACCTAGGGCAGAACCCCTGAAGTCTGTCCACCTGGCAGCACATGCACGCAGCTGGCTTAGAGTTCTGCGTTGTGGTAACTTGGCTCGAGTGAAACAGTGCCTTCCTACATCAGAAGCCCCATTCATTTCAGCTCAACCACTCAATGTGTCAACTGATCAAACGTGAATAAAGAAATTGAGATCCCAGAATCAAAAACTGTAAGTTTAAGCTACAAAATACATGTCTATTAAGTTTCTGTCATTGCTGCTGCTGCTTTATGGTGGCTGTCTGGCAGTTATGTCACAGGGCTGTCCTTACTTCCCAGGGCCAGAGGTGTAGTCAAGTGAGAGAATTTCTTTCAAGCTTCTCCTTGGCTTTGCTTCCCAATAACACGAGAGAAATAAGACCCTTGTTAATAAAGGCATTCTATATAAATACAGAATTTGAATAACTTTTGGCAGCATTATCTGAGGAGAAAGAGTTACGTTAATTATACAAATTCTTAAAGAATTTGTCTTGTTTCTAAAGAAGCCTACAACTATTACTTCAAAATATTTTTAATAATACTGCAAAGCATTCTCATTCTCTGCTAATTTGTCTAAAGGTAAAGGAGATGTTACATTTATCAAAATTTTGAGAACTGTGAAAGTAAAAATAAGAGGTAAAAATAGTTGCCACCGGAATTATACTTCATCACCAATGGCATTATAAAGCGTCATTTCATGAGGAAGATTCTTAATAACAACCCTTCACAGAATCAAAAAGTCTTTCTCAAAAGAACAGAACTCAAATTTCTAAGTCCTTTGAGGCGAATTAAATTATTTTCACAGAGTTCAAAGCTGTAACCTCTCCTAAGTTTCAATGACTGAATATGAACAAGGGAAAGAAATGCCAATCATTTTGCTGCCTCTGAAAATCTTCTCTTTAGATGAAAGTGGGAACTCAGACAGGCTTTCAGACAGGTAAGCCTGCCATGCTACAAGAAGCCCATGTGCCCACCAAACATAGAGTGAAATTGCTTGTGATGTCTTCTAAAACATCTGTGTCAGATGAATCAAATTCCATTGACCAAATTTTGGCTATACCAGTTACATGAACTAAGGCCAGGTATAGGCTTACTGAATGTAATCTTTTTTATTTTTCCTTCCACCTTACATAGCTTTGAGTTTTTAACATCTTTTGGACCAGAATTTATATTTTCTGTCTTATTCTCTTGAATGTACTGGAAAAGCCTTTCATTAGAACCAACATCATGTGCATCTAGCACCTTGTCGAAACTAAACATGTATGTATTTTGTGAGGAATTAAGTTAGTGGGTCTTCCATTATGAGTCATTCTGCGCTTCTGTTTGCAGCCATCTTTTGCCACACCATGAAGAACAGAACATAAATAAGAGGAGATGAGCATGAACAAACTGCCCACCAAGGCTGCCTCTCATTCAGGATGGCAAAAAAGTAAAGCCAAACCTACAGAAATGACATAGAAAGAAATATTCCTCCATGCAAACTGGCACAGGGGATGGAAAAAACTTTCTGCGGGAGAAACTTGAAGGGCCGGAGCAGATTTAGCAGCAGACAGAAGCACTCACTCCTCTCTGTGTGTCAGGAAGCCTGAGAAGTTCTTTTGCCCCAAGCTCAAATTCTTCATCCCTGCGTTCCTCTCCGCCTCTGCAGGGGATGTGAAATCAGAAGTGATATACTGTCAAAGGCACGCTGCTACTATAGTGCACTTCCAGAAGAGCTTGCAGGGCAAAGCCAAGCATGTACATCTAATCAGGACAGGCATTCTTCATTTTCAAAGCCATTTAGAAGAATAAAGCTTAAGATCTGATATAAGCCGTTGCACTGCACTTTCCTTCATTTCATAATGACAGTTTGGCTTACAGGAATTGTGCATGTGCCAAAAAATCTCCTGGGTACAGTGCTCCAAGGCAGTATCAGCTTTCAGTCAGCAATTTTCAGGCTTTGTCCTTTTTGCTGTTGTCAGGATGCTGCAGCACTTGAGGCTTTCCACAGTGGCAGAAGATGATCTTAACAGTTACTAATAGTCTGCTAACAGAAAACTGCAATATCTGCTAACAAGAGCTGTACTTCCAAAGGGAATAGCACAGAGATTTTCAAAGCGATTCTGTTTGAGATACACCCTACATCTTTCCTAAAACTAATGGTAGATCCAACCTATTTGTATTCATTTCAGCAGAAGTTACCAGAACAGGACTTTGCAATACAGCAGATCTTCCAATTACAAGTTATTTGAATTGTAACTCTTTCACAAGTAAGTCTTCTATCAAAGCACATAACATTTTTTGTATTTGTGTATTTATCTAATATCTATCTGCAACTTCAAGTCAAAATTAAACCCAACTACAAACAAGTCAAGATTTTAGCACAAGCTGCAGAAGTTCAAGTTGTAAAATTTGGCACATAGAATTTTTGCTGCTGATCAGTGCTGTGTTTGTTTAAAAACAGAAATAAATTGAAACTTAGTTAAGAAACTGCTGCTTATGCAGTGGCATGCAAAATAACTAATACAAAACTCTTACTGTTCACATATAAGGGGATTCAGCATGATAATATATATATATATGAAGCACAGATGCAGATATATGAATAATTTGCAAGTCCTCCTTCTGCTAACCAGAAAATTTTGTAAACTAGTTATGTTATTTATTAAATTAACTAATATAATTTAATGCAGAATCTCCAAGTTTCCTTTTCCAGGTTTTCCTAGAAAACAGCAAACTCCTATGGGCCTGTAGATAGCCTAAACTTTAAGTAGAACCTTGGTTCCATTAATCAAATTTTCTCCTTATGTACAGAACACAGGGATTTCATGCCCTCACTCCAGCAAGCTTGCAAACAGAAGTCAACTCATGGTACTTCTCTAATACTTCTCCTCCACACTCTAGAGAGACTCTGGATTTTTTCCACAAAATGTAGGTGACAAATGATTCCATGTGTCTTAGTGACTTGCCCCCCTTTCTCTTGCTGCCTTTTTTCTTCTCCTTGCACCTCACCTTCACTCCCACAACTCACTCTCCACCCCACTGCACCTTGTCAGGAGTATTATCTGAAAGAATGGAGGAGCAGAGAATTAGCAATGAACAGCTATTCTATGAGTAAGGAGAAGGCAAAAAGATGCTTAGAAAAGGAAAAGAAGAGATGGAGACGAGTGCCTCTGATGTAGCTAGGAGAGAAGGGTGATGATCTGCATGCCATAGATATGGCTCTGAACAAGAATTTGGCCCCTTGCTCTAGAGAAGCTGCAGCTGAAGGCCATCCCTCTTTGCTACAGAACTGACACTCCCAAGCTGAAGGAGGCATTGGATTTAGCCGCACACTGCAGCAGCAGAGGAAGTGGCACAGCTGCAAGAGCAGGGCCCCAGCAATATCAGGGCCCGGGGAGCCATCCCGATTAGGCCGTGTTGCTGGGTGCTCGGTGGTGGCAGAGACATGGGGAGAAGAGCACAGGCACCTGGGGGGGAGATGAGGAAGGGAAGGGGAGGGCGGATAAACAGATGGTCCCCAGGGAGAAAAAAAAGGCTAGCACATTTTCAAGATCAAAAAGGAAGCAAAATTCACATCAAATAACAACACGTAAGAGACTTTCAAGCCACACACATCACAGTAACGCTCCTGGGTTTTCTAGTTTGCTTTTCTTGCTTTTTTTTTCCCCTATAGGCTATTAACGTATTATAAAAGGTCAGTGTCTGCACACACAAACACTGAAGAGCCTTCAAACAATTTAAATTGGTTCACATTACTAAAAAAAAAAATATAGCAAACATCAACAAACAGCCTGAATACCCAAACCGGCACACAAAGATGGATCAAATCACCTTTCCTAACAGCCATGTTTTCAGTTAATTCCTATACTGATTTATTTCATCAGCCAAAGAACGACAACCCTTGCAATGTTACACTCATTGGCAATGCCTTACCAGTGTAGATGCTGGCATTGGATGCTGGGATGCCAAACTGTGACTCGATGAACTTGGGAATGAAGGTAATAAAAGCTGTAACAATGGCACTCTCAGCTGTGTATGACAAACTCACAAAAAGGAATGTCATGTTGCTTAAGATCCTGACAGCTGCCCGTGGAAGCTCTATAAAATGACAAAAATGACAAATGAATGTTATAAATAATGAGTGAAAAACAAAAGCAAATTGGAACAAAACAAATTGATTTCCTTTGAGATGGACTGTAAATAATGGCTTGCTAGCATCTGGCTCCATTTGCTGAGCGGAAGGGAGAGTGCATATTTTGCATTGCACTCTTTGCTGTTTGTTCTTACACTATCTCACTGCATTGCCTGGGGCTGCAGTCCCATTTTTCACAAACAGAACAGAGGTCTGTTTTAACAACACTGTCTGAAGAAACAGGACCTATGCAGTAACAGTAAAGAGCAGAGAAAAACAGTAAGAAAAAGAAGAAAATCAGGAATTGTTCTGATGTCTTCTTTTGAAGTTCTCTAGGAGATAACACACAACCTGCTACTGAAACAATACTGAATTTTGCACTCCACATGAGGAAAAACAATCCCATACACCTCTTCAGCACTCTGCTTAAAGGACCACCATTGGAAAAGTGGGATAATATTACTATAATTTGAAAAGGAAAACAAAAGATTTTAGACTACAAATTTTTATACATGATTAAAAAATATTTGCAGTGCATGCAGACAAAGCATACTGAGAAAATTATGCCAATATAAATGAATCTCAATGTACATTACATATGTACAACTCTAAAACTCACACAAGTCTAATGTTCCCAGAAGAGATAAAATAATCAATTAAAAATGAGCACATATCGTTAGCTTAAATTTAAAAACCATTCACAGCTGTTGTAATTACCCTCAAATCAAATATCAAAACCCCATGAAATTCAGAACTGTCATTATAAGAAGCACTTGAATACTTTTAATCCAGTCCTATAGTGATATCAAGTTACCATCACCAAATGATGATAACTCTATTTAAGAGTTAATTTTTTCAGATTACATGGCATAATTTTTAAATAATGGTTGGGTTTTCTTCTCCTGGGGCTAATACCAAGATCACATGTTGTGTCCAACCATGACAAGTATATTCAGCCCAATAAGATCTGAGTTTTTTCATTAACTTTTCACAAGAACTGAACACTGCCTGAACCAGAGCCCACTGAAGTCAATGACACGACCATTCATTAGAAATAAACAGCCGAACAAGTGCAGAACAGCAAAACTGCTGTGTGAGAATGTTACTGATGTTAAAAGTCATCAAGTCAAATCTGTGTCACTTACTCCATGGACTTCAGCAGGTTATGCATATAAAAGCAAACAGAGTTTAGACTCCTGTCATGTCAAAACTTGTTAGACTGCAAATTAGCACTGCGGTTGTCTGATTGCATCCAGTCTTAGCTTATGCCAGTTGTCAAAAATTATACTGATTTCATTGTGCAAACAGAGTTTATCATTTTAATGTAGTCAAATGCTCTCTTGTTGCCTCTATGAAGAAAAATACTAAATTTGGTGGAAATAAGTAATGAATAAGTCTTATTAAGAAGCACTCATATATTTGAATCTTAACATTTTTGATCACTTATTGCTTTTTTTTTTAATTATTATAGCACCATTTACAATAGTATAAAAGAGAAAAAAAAGGGAAAACACAAGTATGTGGCAATACAATATCACTGTGAATATATGGAAGCTTGTGATACAGCTGTACATCAGCTGAAACTGCGTGAGTAGCAAGAACAAAATGAAACTTTATCAGTATTTATTATCAGATATAACACATTCAAAATACAAATGATCAAAATGAATCTCATTATTCAAGAGGAAATGAAAGAGAAAAAACATCAAAGGTGTAAAAAAGCATTAGTCATCAAATCTCACCAGATTTTGCTTTTATTTTGGGGTTGGATTGCGTTGGATTAGCCAGTGAGGGCACAGATGCAAAAAGAAACCAAAGAAACAAGAGCCAAGATGCTTTTGCAAAGCCTCTCATGGGGCAAGACGATGCAGTTTAAGAAAATGGCTGACACAGGACAGCTGCTGCAACATTTCCCTAGGGACGTGGCACTGGACTTATTGCCATTCCCAAGAAACGGCAGCAAGTAGTTATAATTGTGTTGCTGCCACTGGATGAAAGGAATCACAAAAGAGAGTGCCAGGATTGATTTTGCTGAAAACTGAGCTACTGAGTGTTTTGAAACATGGGCAGCAGCACTCAGCTCTCACTGTGAGATGACAGAAATGGTGGCAGTGAGACCACAAGCTAAGTGAGGCAGTTCATTACAGCAGAGCCAGAGCTAACAAATGCAGAATACTAGCCGTAAACAAACACATCTTCATCTACGAGGTATTTTCTCTCATATGAAGAGGAATGAAGAACAAAAAGAGTAAAAACTTTGCTTAGGAAAACCAAATAAACATCTTCTAAGACTCCATGTTGGCCCCTACCAGCTTCTTTGTGTGTCAACACTGGCTGAGCAAGAATAAAATTGTCCATTTTCAGATGCAGAAAATAGATGAGACATCTCTGTTCACAGAATCACCAAGGTTGGAAAAGACCTACAAGATCATCCAGTCCAACCATCTACCCATCACCAATAGTTCTCACTAAACCATGTTCCTCAACACAAAATGCAAACGTTCCTTGAACATCTCCAGGGTCGGTGACTCCACCACCTCCCTGGGCAGCCCATTCCAGTGCCTGATCATTCTTTCAGAAAAGTAGTATTTCCTAACGTCCAGCCTAAATCTCCCCTGGTGCAGCTTGAAACTATTCCCTCTAGTGCTTTCACCAGTTACACAAGAGAAGAGGCCGACCCCAGCTCACCACAACCTCCAATCAGGTAGTTACAGAGAGCAGATGTTTCTTCAGCTCTATCTTCTCTGCCAAAGTTGTAGCAAATAAAATTTTAAAAAAGATACGCTACTGAAAATTTTTTACAAAAGTGAAGGTGCCTGTTCACTAACAGCCAATGGCATTAGTTTCAGCCATGCTGGCATCTACTGCAATGTCTGGACTTTGTGACTATTAGGATGGTGTATGATATATATGTATAAACATAAAATTGTTATAAACAACCCAAAAATATTCAGGAAGAAAATAGCCTTTCATGTTTCAACCTCATAATAACGACCTAGCTTAGCAGTTGGTGGAAGAGTGACTTTGAGTAAGTCTGATAAAAGGCTTCGTATAGCAGAGAGCTGTTCACTTGTGCTGGATAAAAGCAGAAGAAAGACAATAGCAACTTTCAGAAGATTGGACACTACAGAGAGAAATGTCATTTAATTATGATGATAAACTTAGTGGTCTTTGCAGAAACGGAAAGTCTTTAGCCCAGAACTTAAAGTCCAAGATTTTTTCTAAATCCGTAATTTCAAAGGATCATAATACTTGCTAAAGTTTAGCTCTTTCTGAAAAAATTGAACTTTGCAAGAATGTATGATTTAGAATTTTCAGTCTAAAGATACTAAAGAAATAATTAGATAAACAACTGCAGAGCTAATGAACATTTTGCTCTGGCATTCTGATGTAGAGCTGTGCTTTCTGTTAACTCCTACTTACATTTTTCAGGGTACTAAGCACCTAGCCTAAAGGTCATTTCTAATTTGAAAACTAATTAGTACATTTAAGATGGATTTGTACTGCTAAATAGATAAAAATTAGAGTGCCTTGGAACAAGCACAAGTTCTCTTAAACTCACGTGAAAGATTCTCCAGGGAACAGTTGTGATTATTTTAATTTCTGGCAGGAAATAAAACAGAATATGCAGCACTAACACAGACCACCTGCAGCAACTCAGGCTTGGAGCTCTTTGCGATTCCTGAACGTATAAGGAAAAGTTATTACACATGAAGAATCTGGCAAATAAAAATACTTTCACGGAATTCAGTTTTCTCTGTTTTCCTCCTACGATTACAGTAAAATCCTATGCAACAGAACTCCTGAATCTAAAAGCTTGTGATAAAAAGGCACAATAGTCTCACATCTTCCAACCACATTAATTCCAATAAGAAGCAAGAAAGATAAAATCTTTAAAGGCTCTTTGTACTATATAATCAATCATGCATTTAAACCATTTCAATGTCACATTATTTTTGCGTGACTAGCTGTAGGCCTACTCTTTCATCTCAAGGTCATTATTAAACCTGTCAAGTTCTGATTTTTAGGAGGCCTTCGAAAACCATCTCTCATTTTTCCAAGTGTGTAGTAAAAACAAACCTCATTCTGTCATTTGAACAAATAAGTCTCTGCCAATTACATTCCTGAAACTGAAACAATCATTTAGTATGTCTTCAAATACGTTTACTGTGCAGTAATTCAAATCTTAACTTTTTTCTTTTTTTCTTTTTTTTTTTAATAACATAGTATGTAACTAAACATGATTTGGAACCTGCCTTGCTGGACTCATTTGAGAGTCTAGTAGCACTTTTCTTCCCCTCCTGCTCTCTGAAAATATGTTATCTCTAGTCAGTATCCATTTTCTTTCACTGGTATGGTGGACCACTACTCGATTGATGGATAAGCCTATGAAAAATCTGCAAGCAATAGAATTATTTGTAAATGTTGCTCTAAACAAAACTCTGAAAGAATGGAAACAGGATTCTAATTAAAGAAAAGCATTAATTCCAACTTCAGCTCCTTTGTAATTTATTTTATTTTAGCCTGGTTCCTTTACCAGCCAAAGGTAGTAGAGTGAATACAACCAGGGGAATAAAACATCCAGCTCTATAGCACCATCCTCTTGGTGCTACAAATATCCATGGTTTGGTTTAACAGAATGGAAATTAACTCTTTCAATCACATGCGACTTTTTGCTTGCTTTCCAGCAGCTTCTCAAACTCTGGCTAATGCTACTCATCACTGCAGGGCTGTGACATTTTCTATTTTTGAGTTCTCTAGGATGACACAAGCCAGCAGCAGGGGGAGTGACGTGCTTAAGGTGAGTGGCATGGCAGGTAACCCAGCCCTTGGTCTCCAGAACTCTGACATTTACAGGGCTCACACAGCCTAGCATCCCCTCCTCTTGTGCTGATTCTCTCTGGCTGCTCTTGGGGCACTGGGGAAACTTCAGCTGGTTTCCTCAGGGGAGCACTTGAATACTTTACATCCCCAGGAATTTCTTTTACCTTTGGTGATATCCTGACAAGCATTATTATCATGTCTCAAGCCCTGGTAGGGACTGACTGCGAATGGCATACAACAGCTAGGAGACACAAAAGACAGACAGGGAAATTGGACATGGGCTGGGCTTGCAGATAACATAGGTTTACTTATTGGGAGGAAAAATTAAAAATAAAATTTAAAAAGTAGAAAATGTATGGAAGTAACGCCTCTTAGTTTGGAACAGAATATTTTAGATGAGTAATATATGCATTTGCTTTATTTAAACTGCTCCTTTACCCAATTGCACAGTAAGCTTCATTACAGTGGTAAGTAAAAGGGACTGCAGAGTTTCCATGGTACAAAACCCTAAGGGTATCCACGTAATAAGTGAAAACAGTGCTTCTGTTTACTTAAGTTCATGATTAATCTGCATGTATGGGATTGAATTATGGTTTCTTTATCATATTTCTTCTCTGTCTCATATTATTCATACTACCTCAATTTCTCCCAGTAAGCAAAACCCCCTCTTACAACCTATTTAATGCTTTTGATACTTGCTTCAGAAGCATTCTCCTTCATATTGCTTACTTGTAACATAAATAGAAAAGATTGAATTCCTGCTCCTTGTGTCTTGAAACATGGGAAAATCAAAGGTGGATTTTTATCTGATCCCAGGTCTATGGACCAAAATAAAGCCATGGTCACTGAGGTTGGAGGGCACTTGCAACAGGAACCAATCCTGTCTTACATCTTCAGTCTATCCTGGCGTCCACTTCAGGAAAAATAACCCTAGCCCTCTCCTATCACAACTTATTAATTCCTTTTCATTCACATAACAAATTAATTTACATGAAATTAGGACAAATTACAGCAGGACAAAGCTTCCCAGTTAAGACAATGTCCAATCAGAATATCCAATTACAGTTTCTTCCATGAGAGATTTCCTAGCAAAGATGCACAGATTTTACAGGTTAATGGCACTGACCTCTGTCATGACAGACTAGGACATCACTGATATTTATTAGTACAGAATGGAAGATGTGACCTACTAAATCACCAGTCTTCCAGCTACTGCCTACGTGGAGTTTTTGCCTAACATTCTATAAAAAGAGAAAGCCCTGAAATTCAGTGGGAAGTATAAATTCAACACTGCATCTCAGAAGGAGCAATGCTAAATGACTTCGACACGTGCTTATTTCTCCTTCCCATTATAAATGAAATTACATCAACTGAGAAGCTTGAGGCATGATGTCATTCCATAAAGCCCACTTAAACTTGAAAAATAATTAAATGATAGCGCGCTCCTGCCACAGACTCTTTTTGCTAAGGTAAATGACACCTAATGGAAAAGCTATTATCAGCTTATAGGAAAATACTTTCCTCTGTGTTATCTTGACTCACTTGGCTCCTTCTGACATGTGGAATACAATGCTGTTTTTCAGTGTTCCGCACTCTGAAGTTTCTTCTTCAGAGAAAATGGAATGTTTTGTACATAAAGGAGCTCTAATTTGGTAGCATAATTAATATTGTAACCAAGGACACTGTTAGTAGAAGGTATGGTACGCAGTTAGGCTGATTCGCACTTTAGGAACATACAACATGACCTGGAAGGTGAAATTACGTTCAGAGATAGAGAACCCACAGCAGCAAACTCATCCAAATGCAGGGTTTGACTGACAACCTGTATCTTTTCCATGTACACCTATGGGTTAAAGCAGACCCTCTGCTGTGTGACCTGAAATTGTTAGGAAGAAGCCCATCAGGGACTGATATGTTTCCCACTTCCCTAGGTTAGTGAGAAAATCTTGAACATCAAAAGCCAGAACTGCTTTTGATATACAAAAGCCTCTAAGATTGAATTGGGGAAAAAAGAAAGAAAAAAAGAATGAAAAAAATAAAAACACAACTAGCTTCATGGATTTAGGAGAAAACATTACACACAAGGACTAGTATATAATGTGGGAATACCATTTTTAAAGAAGGAAGTACATAACATGCTTTTCTCACATTTCTATCACTTTTAGAGCCATTCTATGCAGATTATTGGACCAGGAACCAGTATCTTACACTAAGAGACAAACAGAGAACGTAGTTCTAAAATTCTGATACTGGAGATATACTTTACTCCCTCTGTGCCTTAAAAAGATTTTGTTTTGTATGTTAATACAACAATATAAGTAAATTATAGTCTCAACGCTTGTTTCTTTTTTACTTCTATAGGAGATAATAGTAACTTCAATTACCCTGGGAGTATATATATAAATGCAACATAAAGGAAACCAATATGCGTGTGGGCAAACAATAGAATTACAGTAGTTTGAGTATTGCTAGGATTTGTTCATTCAATATAAGGAGTGATCATTAACCCACCATTGAAATATCTATCAGTCATAGAAACACAAAATGGTTTGGGTTAGAAGGGACCTTAAAGATCATCTAGTTCCAACTCCACTGCTGTGGGCAGAGTTGCCAACCACTTGATGGGCCCCATCCAACCCGGCCTTGAATGCCTTCAGGGATGGGGCATTCACAACTTGTCTGGGTAGTCTATTCCAGTGCCTTACCACTCCCTAAGAATTTTCTCATAACACCTACTAAATCTTTCCTCTTCTGGTTTAAAACTATTCCCCCTTGTCCTATCACTGTTTATAAGTTTTCCTCAAGTGCTGGAAAGCCACAGTGAGGTCCCCTCAGCGCCTTCTCCAGAAGGAACAAGCCCACCTCCCTCAACTTTTCTTCATAGGAAAGATGCTCCAGTCCTCTGATCTGTACTTCCTATGGACCTGTTCCATTAGCTCAGGATCCCAGGCTTAGATGCAATACAAGTCCAGATGGAGCCTCACAAGGGCAGAATAGAGGGGGACAATCACTTCCCTCACCCTGCTGGCTGCTTCTATTTTGAAGCAGCCCAGGATACTGTTGGCCTTACGGGCGCAGGTGCATATTGCTGGCTCACATCAAACTTTTTGTCTACCAGAACCCCCCAGCCCTTCTCCACATATCTCACTGTCCCACCCCAGTGCAACAATGATACATATGCATAAAAATGAATAGAAATGATTTCATATGTCAAATGATACATTAATTTTGTGATTTCTCTTAGATCCATTTGCATTAGAATGTCATAAAGATGGCACAGCCAGCACTCATATAATGAAAGCGAAGGTGGGCAAAACAACATTGTTAATACAGTGGCATGAAGGTTCATTTATTCTTGTCCTGTACTATTCAAGATGATACTCTAAATTTCTAATTTATTTGCTTTGTACTGATTCATTTTTAATACAGTGCATTTCTTCCTATGGCATTTTATCAATCATTATTACTGGCTGTCAAATTTCACGTTAAGGTTTTACACTTTGAATAAAGTAAAAATCACGTTACTTGTCAACCCTTTCAACTCATGTCATTTCAGAATTAGCACAGATTTAATTCATCCTAGCCATCAAAAAATAAATAGCCTGCAACACACAACAGCCAGGAAATGCATGAGAAATAAAATAATCTGTTCCAGTTAACTTGCTTAAATACATGAAGGTAATTTAACTCACTTACTAGAGTTCTTTTTACTTGTTTTGCTTCTTTTAAAGAAGAGCCTTTCTTGTATGAAGAATAGCTTACGCAAGTATAACAGTAGCATACAGCAAGGTATACAAAAATGCCTGGTAATGGAGGCCATACAGTTATATGACAAACAGGAAAATCATATAACTACAGCAAACAGAGCACCTATTTGTCACTAGTGCATGTAAACACTTCAATAGTGTAAGTATTTCTTCCCTCACAACTGCACTTCATAACTTTAAAAGACCATCAGTAGCAAAACATAGTATTAAATACAGCAGGTAAAAATTCTGCCTCCAATTACACTTCATACAACCCTAGAAGATGAACCTGTACACAAAATGTAAAGCATTTAAAACTTAAAAACAGCCTCACCTTTAACATTCTTTCCAAATCCCATAGAAGCAGGAACTGCACTGTCTGCTTGTATTTTGCTATTTGTTTTCTCTTTCATGACTTCATCGTCACTTGAAACATCATCAGAGTTCATTTTCTTTTTCTTTTTCTTTTTTTTATGTCGAGGAGGAAGCTTTTTTGGAAAGGTAAACATTGGAAATATCACAAGGAGCATTGCAATGGCACAAAGAAGAAATCCACTCCACCTAATGCCAGAAGATAGGAACAGAAATGAAAGGCAATACATTACATGAAATAAATATACCAAAGTGATTATTACAGACTGTACTAGCTAGAAGGACATCTTTGCAAAATACACAACACTGAAATTAGAGTAAATTAATGGAGTGGAGAGGATCCTTCACTGTGTTAAAGCACTTAATTAGAAGACTTTTCTGTTGGCTTTTCTATGGATAAAGGTATTTATCTAGCAACCACCAAGTGGTTTATGAAATAGGGTCAGCTTCAAATTCCTGTATATTTCTACTTCTGATAATTATTCAGTACTAAATCCAGAGAAGGAGATGTTCACTTTTACTTTGCCTTTCTTAGATAATTTGCAGTAAAGCAATACAGCATTCCTCTGGAGAAAACAAAAATTTATCTTTGGCATTAACCATGATATAATGTCCAAATTGACATATCAAAGCTAAATCTGTTCTGCTTTCCAGTGCCTACTTTTCACTGCACTGACTGTTCAGCTCTCTCTCTTTCCAATGAAAAGCTCCTCAGAAGTCACCCTTGAGTTCTTCCAATGTATTGAAAGTGCGATTTTCATTATTCTACTATATTCTATTCTACTATTCTACTCCGCACTAGTACCTAGAACATTCATTGAATTCAGCCACATTACTCCAATATCCAAACTCAACAACAAAAGTCTGAAGCTCTCTGATTTCATATCACAGTGCATAGGTGAAATCTTATGTTTTTGCACATCTTTTACACTTAAAAAAGAAAACTACTCCAGGAAGCTAATAATTTAGTATTTGTGCAAATTTTAAACATTTAGAAGTCCAAGATAGACAGGATTACTTGCACAATAAACAGAAATGTTTGGCAACACTTTCGCAATGCAAAGATATTACAAACTGTACCATTAAATAAAGGTCAATTCATATGCATATATAATGGTTATGCAAAGTTAAACACCAAACAAACTTTCACATGTAACACCATTTTTGTTAGAAAGATTATGCAAGGAGCTATTCTGAGGCAAATCTAAGTTACTGAAAGTTTTCACTTGTTTTGATATTACATAAACAGAAAATCTTCTATTGACTCATTTTAGCTAATAGAATACATAGGCTAGAAACCACAGTTTCAGGAGGATCAATCAGCACTATCAGGTGGGGAATAAATTAGTAGACTGTATAAAAATGCAGTAACACCCCTTTCAGGATCTCAAAGGCAGAAGCTGCATTGATCAAAGAAACAATCTGTGGCAATAATATGCAGAAATCTGAAGCCACTCAGTGGGAAACAGCAAAGGAGACAAGGCCTTGTGATGTATCGTGAGATAAAATTGAAATCCAAAGGGATCTGTATGGAAGCATACCAAGTGCTGGAGATGTCACAAATGCAGCACTGTATGTAATTATGTGCACTGTCTACATTTCACATCTTCCTGGAGAAGTATCAAAGAACTGGAAAACAGACAAAAGAATATATAAAAAATAATAGACACCTACGATAGAAAATGAGAGGTCAGAGTAGGATCTACAGATTAATTAAAAAGCCCTTGATTTCCTGTGTTCTAAAGTCAAAGAAAATATGCAGTGGAATACCTCAAAGGCATCTGCAGAAATCCAAAGACCTCAGATAAAAGCAATTAAAACTCAGGGAGGACCAGACAGTGCTGAAGGAATTCCTTTAAACTTCTTGCGTGGAATGATGATGAAAGACAATATGAGAAGTTCCAAGTATTAAACAGATTCAGAACTAGGCAAACAGAAAAGTGTCAGCAAAAGAAAAGTTGATTCAAAGCACTTGACAGACCGCCAAGGGCTACTCCACAACTAACGAGATCCCTATATAGCACATTAGCAATTTTTAAAGACAACAACATGACAAATGATTTCTAACAGATGTCCACAGTTACCACACTTGAATAAAAAGCAGTTTTCAATATTTGATACAATGACAAAGACAGCTGGCCTATAATTTAGTCCAGAGCACCTACAAAAACCCAGGTGTGTAAACCCAAACTGTGCAAAACAAGGAAGAAACAGATCAGAAATAACCCCAAAAGCAGCAGTTACTTAATCAGGTCTGACATGAGATAAAGTTGCCCATCCAGAATACATGCAAAATACTTCTTAGAAAGGAACAGCTTAAGTAAAAAAAAAAAAAAATAGACCTCAGAGCAATTCTTATTGCCATATATCACAGCTGCTTTACTTACTATCTTGTCTGTAATGATAACCTGCTTTAATAGTGGAATTTTTCCACTGGTCCCTGTGATAAGTAGAGTGAGAAACCTTGCAGCTGTAATAAAGAAAAGATGAAAATCAAAGACATTAATTCACTTCAAAGAAGACATGGCTGAGAAATCTCAAATATGACTGGCCATTAACTTATCTCAACTGCACCCTACTTTTGAAAAGCACTTCAGCTCTCTGAAGTCAGCACTAGACTACTCTTACATTTCAAATTTTTAGATTGCATACATAAAAACAAACTTGGCTACGCAGCATTTCCCTGCAAGGAGAAAATGTCACAGTCCCAGAAAATAAATTTCAATGGAATGAAAATCAACACTTCCAGAGTGCTCTGCAACCAGGCAATCACTGAGTAGCAAGGGACAAAGGACCAGCAGGCACACCATTAGAGTCACAGTTTTAATAGAAAAAGCTTTCAAAAAAAAAAAAGAAGAAGAAAAAAAAAAAAAGCAGCACAAATGCTCTGAAATCACTGAACTATCACTAGAAGCCACCACAGATCATGAAACTTAATTATGAGAGATGTGGCAGCAGGCAACAATCTTAAGAAAGTTAAGAGAAAAAATATAGAGAGCCAAAACCAAAAGAATAATACTGGAACACTCTTCAATCCACAGATTTAACAAGCACGAGGGAAAAAGGAAACTTCGAGTGACTTTTCTGAGCTGGACAGAACACGACAACTATGGCAGTTGATTTTCTGCCTTTCCTTCAGTCCTATTTGTATCACTTCTACAGGCACTCCTCTGCTAAACTGAAATTACCAAGATACCTGACCAAGTGATATTAAGCCTTGGAGATACATGAAATCCATTTAGTGGTTTAACATAACATCCTCCAAATGTGCAAACAGGACTCTGTCTCACTTGCAAGATCCGGCACAGTAGATGTTCTCAAAGCCTAAGCACAGGCCAGGTTGTATGAGATGACCCCTCACCACTCCTGCTCAGTGGCTACAACCACTCTTGTAGGATATCTGGGACCCATCTCTGGTAGTCACTCTTCTGAGACAGGGGAGCTGAACTTGTAATCCATGAGGAAGGACAGGCATTTTTCTGGCTAATCTCTCTTACAAATGTAGCCAAACCCAGCTGTAAACCAACAACAGTGGCAGTCCATCTGAAGCAGAAGAGATTGGTGTAAATGGCTTGAAAGTAGCTACCTGATATCCTTAAACACATGTGAAGCATAAGAATTTTAATAAAAATGTATAATTTTTTGCTCTGGTTTAAAATCTTTTATTCAAAATTAGCCAGAGTGCTTCTTTAACACTGCAGTACATTCACACCACAGATCTTTTCTATGAGATATAAATGAGAGCACAGAGCCACTAACCCCAGGGTCAGGTTAACCAAGCACTCAGGTTTCTCTGTCTCTCACTGAAAATTCATCCAAACAATCCCGTGCAACAATGCTCTTGTGCTAAGCATGGCAAATAAAGCAGTGATAAATCTTCAAAGGTCTAGGAACACTCCAAAGAATGAATTTTTCACATCAAACTGTGAAGATTGATCACTGTAGGTTAAACAGAAGCAGATATGGTCTGAGTGAAATGTCATCGTGACAAGCACTTATCCAGTGCACCAGATATGAAACTGTACTCTATACCATACCAGGGTCAAGAATCAGAAAAACCCTATCAAAGACATGCTGGAAAGCCAGAGGGGATGTATCCAGCCTCTACTGAGAAGGACTCAACCCTAGGCAGCAGTGATCTCAAAGGTCTCCCAAACATAGCAGTATCCTGTCCTGCTATTTCTGTGCTGAGTGCTGTCAGTCAGTACCCACCATGTCAGTTAGAGCAGCTCCTGACACAGCCAAAACAGGAGATTTTTTCCATTAAATGTTGCACAGATGTTTTTGTGGCAAGCATTTCCTCTCTGTCAAGACCTACCATGCAATAACCAATACAAATCTCTTCTTCCTTGACCTCCTTCCGTGGACCTAAATAAGCCCTCAAGGGATACAGTTGCCCACCCTACCTCAATTCCCTGTTGGCAAGAGTAGCCCTGAAAAATGCTTGACCCTTACCAGTTTCCAATGAATCGGGGATCATTCTGGTCAATATAAACAGTTGTCCTAGGATCAACATAGAAACCAATGAGAAGTCCTCCCAGTAAGTAGCCAGCTGCAGGACCGAGTGCTCCCATGACATACATGATGGCTGAGGAAATAAAAGATCCAAGTTGTAAATCAGTAAAAAGAACACTTTGTTACTCATTTGCATGTAAATTAGGGATCCAAAAGTAAAAGATGTCTCATCAAGCAGAAAATTTTGTACCCAGAATTTCCTTGAAAGAAACAACAGCAAAAACAAACAGAAAAATCTTCAAGGGCTTTGCATAAAGCAAAGTATTAATAAGAAAATTACTGTTTGTGCACATTTTCAGTCAAATTACAGATGGAAAAGTACACTATTTTGGTATTTTAGATGGGAAGCATCTATGATTTTGACAATATCTTTTAACATTTGTAACATTTTCTTTGAATAAAAACAGAATTTGAAACATAAAATATAATCAACAGTGAGCAAACAAAAAAGCAATGGGTAAAACTTATACAAGGCACCAAAGCACAAAGTACAAAATTCCAATACAGTTACTATCAGACTAATACTGGATTTAAAAGAACCAAAGTTTAGACATCAAATATTCCAATTTTTGGAGAGTGACAGAATGACATTTTTATTCATGCAGCCACCAACTTGGCCCTGTTGTACACAGTGACAGCAACAGACCACATATGCCATATTTCCACAGGACTCCTTCCTTGTTCAGGAGATTTGAAATTCTAACGTTATTATTAAAGAAACTTCCTAATTTAAAAACCTGGTTAAATGAAAAAGAAATTCTCACATGCAACAATGCAGATGCTTATTTTACAACACCTTCACCATCTCAGTGCTGGATGAACGCAAAATCTTTATCACTTGAAATAACAGAGTGGGCTCCTATCTGCTATGCCTTCTACAAGATACTCTTTGCAGAGAGCCTCCAGTCCTCATCCTTCAAAAACCCACAACAGGGCATTTCTGAGAAAGCATCACAGCTTCTGTTTGCCTGCATGTCTGTGCAGTCAGGAACAAGGATGAGACTGAGGCAGGAATAGACTACAAATGTGCTTCATCTTGGTGTTGGGCTGAACCCCAGCTGGGCCTGGGAACCAGGAAACCCTTCTGCATCTCTCAGTGCAGACAGAACCGTGAGACAACAGAACGTCTGTTATTTGCTGACAAGAACCAAGCACTGAAATTTAGAACCCCTTTTCCATTTTTTTAATAGAGGATAATTTGAAGTCCATCAATTGTCTTGCCCTTAAAGTCCATCAATTTTGCTTCCTTCCTTTCCTGCTTCTGCAAAACCTGAGTCAACTTCTGAACTAAGCCAAGGTCAGTTATCACAACCCTAACCATGACCTTAGGTATTTTTCAAAGATCTTTCTCCTGTTCTCCATCTGTCGTCACAGAGTGGTCCTGTGTGGAGTCAGGAGTTGGACTTGGTGCTCCCTATGGGTCCCTTTGGAAAATTCTGTGATTCTATGATCTATTTCTCTCCTTAATGCATGCTGCAGCAACCATCCCTTTTAGAATGTTTCTATCCCATGCATGAAAGCATGAAAGACCCAATAGATTATAAGGAACAATCTTTGCCTGTCTGGTACCACAAAAACCCCAAGCTCCAGCAGCACAGCAACACAAGTGCTGCAGACTCACTACATAGCACATCAGAAGAGACCTGGTAATCTAATCATCTAAAAAGATCATCCTGGCTCTGGAATCTCCACCTCCGCATGGTTTCAGTGGAGCAGTCAGCCTCCCTGGTAGATCCCATCCTGTTTGGTCCCACCTTCGATCAGACAAGCACAGTCCTGGGGCTGCAGCCACTGAGGGAGCTTAATAGAGCTGTAGAAAGCCACCTTTCTGTGACAGCACTTACAGCAAATTATATCTCAAAGACAAAATAAATGAAATCATGAAATCCACCTGATTAGACAAAATACCTCATACATTTTCATGTTGTGTTTTAAAAGAAGAGAAAGATGAGAATAATCTCAAGAGTAAAAAGGGGCTGTTTATCAAGGACCTATTCTGCAGAAAAAAAGTTGCAGAAGCCACCACAAAAGGTAAACTGCCTGAATAAAAAGTATTTTTCAGACTATAAATTTATTTATTACTTTTAAGTTGCTCCTTCTAAATCACATTTTCAATTTTTACAAAGCTGTAATTTGAAATAATTAGATTTCTCTAAGGTCCCTTTTACCTAATGGTTTCCAGAACTGTGTTCACTACTTAAATTTATTCCAGCCATGTTCCCTTCTGCCTTGATTGCAAACAATTCTTTGCATGTGTAAAATGCTCCATCACACATTATAACACCACTACTTACCACTAGTAAGTGGTTAAACTGCACAGTAACTGTCACTTGTATAATTCACATCATAAGGAGAAGGAAAAAAAAAACACCTATCGTAATAAATTATGTTCAATGAATACTTTCTTAGAAAATAGATTCAAAGAAGTGCACTAAACTCAGGTCTCTAAGAAGTTTACAGAGAGAAAACACAAAGGGAGTAAAAGAGTGACCTAATCCATTCATTTCAGCATTCAGAAAAAATACTTACACTGCATCTATTCAACTTCAAGTCCACCACTGAAACAGGGAAAATGCAGCAGCTGCTTGGGCTCAGCAGCACCACTCAGCACTTGTGCTATGTTACACCTGGTAACCTCAGAGGCTGTTCTTATAAGCAGAAATTCTGTGCACTAAAGATAAAAATAAATGAACACTGCGTTCCATTAGAGGAGGTGATGCTGCTGACTATTTCATAAGTTTTTTTTCTAATTGCTGTTTGCTGCTCAGGTTTTGGGTTGTTTGGGGGTTTTTTTTGTTTGTTTTTAAATACAGCTTACAGATAACATGCAAAATTCTGAATATTTCAGAAAACAGGGATATCCCACATCTGGTTCCGGGCATAAAGGAAACCGTAAGCTCACGAGTTCCATTACTGTGGAACTAGTTTAGCACACTGCAACAACTTCTTCATTATTCAGTAATGGTCACAATTAAAGACCAGATACCAGGTATAGTAAATTGATCCTGATTTCTAAATAGAACTAAAGATGGAGTGTGGCAAGAAAAGTATTTTGATATTTCAAAATGAGATACTTGACAAAATCTGCATGAAACTGCTAAACCTTGCTGTGAAAATGAAGCTATCTCCAAGGTATGGCCTTAAGTTGAGCCAGGGGAGGTTCAGGTTGTATATTAGGAAAAATTTCTTCTCAGAAAGAGTGGGGAGACATTGGAACAGGCTGCCCAGGGAGGCTGTGGAGTAACCATTCCAGGAGTTGTACAAGAAATAGGTAGACATGGCACTGAGGAATGTGGTTTGGTGGCATGGTGGGCATGGGTTGATGGTTTGACTATATGATCTTAGTTGTCTTTACCAACTTTAATGGCTCTATGTTTCCAGGAGTCAGCCTAGCAGACTGCTCTGGGGCCCTGAAATTCTGGTCACAGACTGCATGAAAATGCACCCTAAAGCCTGAGAATATTGATTCCCAAACAGGCCACCAATATTACCAGATGATACAGAAAGGAAACTAAACTGGAAATAGATTCAGCCAGGGCATCATCAAAACTGAACTCTGCTCACAAACACAAAAAGTTCTGCAGACAACTGTTCCATATTTTTTTCCATTTTCATCTCGAGGTTTTGGATGGAAAGGATCTAAAACACTGCAGTGATGTAGGAACACCTTCTCAGCACCCTGCCCAGCTCTTTAATTTTAACAGAAGTAAAAAGAAAATTTTAACAAGGGAACACGTGGTGCTGAGCCAGTCTGCACGACATTAATTGCATGTAAGGAAACCTTGGATGTGCCTGAGTTACAACCTTCACAGGTTCTTATATTTGCAAACTATCTTCAAATCTTCTAAGTCAGAAAAGAACTATACTATAAAGTAGCAGTAACATTTCCACATGATAAAACAGAAATCATGTGTATGTTACATGCTATAGTTCCGTTCCAAAGAGCAAGTAATCTTAAGAAAATAAAATGGGAACATTATTGCTAATACAGACGTTTGGGCTACAAGGGCCATCTAGTTCTCTAGTGGTTGATTTTCACTAAAGTGAAGAATTGTACCTTTCAGAGTTACTGTATTAGCCACCTCCACACTCTATGTTGGCAAGTCTCTAAGCATGCTTCTCAGGGAAGGTGGGTGACAAAGCATCGGCAGGTCACCCATCCTTAGCTGAAATATGGCCACTTGAGAAATACACGTGACATTCAATGCAATCACCTACACCTCGAACTTGAAGAAGGCTTTTTTTTTCCCCATAAGTTTGTCAAAGCTTGCTGCTGCAGTCATGTAGGATCTTTTGTCCTCAAACCAAACCACTGGTTAGTCTGCTGAAATAACATTTCAGAAATGTTTAGAAAGATTCAGAAAAAGATTCAGAAAGATCGTTTCAAAGGCAAAGATCTTGCATGTTTTTTTAAGTCTCCTTTTTCTCTCAAAGACTCAACGTCCTGGGGAAGAGATCACATCAGCAATCATACCTCATTCTTTGGGTAAAGCTCCTCTTCAGTCTGATCAGGGAAAGATTTTCCCAGCCCTCTTAAACCTGGTATTTCAGAACATAGTTCTAACTCCTAGTTCAAATTCACTTAAATGCTTATTTGCTCCTATGATACCCAGCCATGGATACTTCAATTCCTTTGACTTTTTTTCTTTTTGTTTTTGTACAACACCATACCACTCAGTCTGGGTGTACAGTTTCCACTTACAGCTGGCTATGGCTAGCTTAGCCAAACATCCATCACAGCTAAGACTCTAGATGAGAGAAGAAGGGAGTCAAAGCAGTTTTGAATTACACACGGAATTTACCTACAAAATAAAAGAGAATTAAGAAATATCATTTTTATCCATTGAAAAGTTTATCCTAGGACATGTTCCAATTAATTTTCCATTCTGACAAAACAAAAATATTTACTGCTTCTGATCATAGGACTTTCTTCTTCCAGAGAAGAAGAGTCTACAGAGACCCTATTGTAGCAAAGCTACTGTGATTACAGTAAGATGGACTCAATCCTCTATGGGTCTAAAAATCCCTGTTCTTACAATACATGCATAAAACAACATAGTTACTAAAGGTACT